CACAGACATAGATTCCGAGGTGGCTGGAGGAGAGGCAGGGCAGAGAAACTTCCTGGATACTGGAATGGGGTTCACTGTGATACCTGCTGCTGGATTTAAAATGTCAAAGGTGATGCTTTGCTGACCTTGACCTCTGACTACCCTTTAGCTTTCCCAACCTCAAGACAGGGCACTTAGAAACTGCAATGTCTGGCCGGGCGCAGTGGCTCAAGCCTGTAATCCCAGTACTTTGGGAGGCCAAAACGGGCGGATCACGAGGTCAGGAGATCGAGACCATCCTGGCTAACACGGTGAAACCCCGTCTCTACTAAAAAAAAAAATACAAAAAACTAGCCGGGCGAGGTGGCGGACGCCTGTAGTCCCAGCTACTCGGGAGGCTGAGGCAGGAGAATGGCGTGAACCCGGGAGGCGGAGCTTGCAGTGAGCTGAGATCTGGCCACTGCACTCCAGCCTGGGCAACAGAGTGAGGGTCCGTCTCAAAAGAAAAAAAAAGAAACTGCAATGTCAAGAAATTATGCTTCGTTAAAGCATGGGAATGTTATTTACATGGACGTTCATTACTTCATTTTTTTACATGGGAATGTAAATAATTGAAGAGATTGTTAAAGACGAAATCATGCACATTCAATAACTTTGTAAAATATTAATGATAACTGAAACACAAATTTTGATGTTCCCCAAAAATGCTAAAATATAAAACAATATTGGCCAATTAAAGATAGAAAACAATCCTCATGAAGCTCCCCAACAGACACATTAAAACTTCTCTGTACATTAAACATTTGGGATTTCAAAGGAAAACCCAGATTCATTCCATTCTTAATAACAGCGTCTTTAAAAAAAAAAAAAAAAAAAAAAAAAACCTTAGGTAATACGATATTTCATTTAAAATTTACAAAATTCCATTACATTCATGATTTCATTTGATCCTCAAAACAACCTCCTGAGTTAGGCAGAACAGGTATTACTAACAACTAACTCCATTTTACAGGTAAGGGAACTGAAGTTCAGAAAGTACTTGGACTTAACAAAAGTTTTAATAGGGCCATATATCGAAACCAAATCCTCTGCTCAAAAGAACTAGAGTAAGTTATCTTTTACATATTATTCATACTTACATCCTGTCAATATCCAAAAATGTTTTGAGGCAGCCTGCAATAATAGACACCTATCCAATAAAAACATTAAAATGAAAAACGGCGGGGGGGGGGAAACAGCAGGTGATATGGGAGACAGACAAAGGTAGATAGCAAAGACTGAGACTTATAATCTAACAAAACTTCATCTCTGACCTTCCAGTTCCAGGGAGATAACGCTAAAGGAAACAAGATGGTTTATAGACTCATAAACTGACAAAAGAGAGGTCGCATCAGTTCTTAACTCTGAAACACTCCTAGCAGCCACAGCAAATCTCTAGGACAACATACCAATGGCATCAAAGCAAGAGTATACTTCAGTGACAGAGTGAATTAAGTTCCCTGTTTGGGACCCTGGCCAGGGCTAGAGAAAAGAACTCTGAAATGTAGCGCTCAAAAATACATCCTCTGTCGGCCACAGGCAGTGGCTCACGCCTGTAATCCCAGCACTCTGGAAGGCCGAGGCGGGTAGATCACGAAGTCAGGAGATGGAGACCATCCTGGCTAGCACAGTGAAACCCTGTTTCTACCAAAAATACAAAAAATTAGGCGGGCGTGGTGGCAGGCGCCTGTAGTCCCAGCTGCTTGGGAGGCTGAGCCAGGAGACTGGTGTGAACCCAGGAGGCAGAGCTTGCAGTGAGCCGAGATCCTGCCACTGCACTCCAGCCTAGGTGACAGAGCGAGACTCCATCTCAAAAAAAAAAAAAAAAAAAAAAAAAAAAAAAAAAATATATATATATATATATATATATATATATATATATGCCCTCTGTCTTCTCCATACCCATGTGTCCCCTTCTGTGAGAGACTTTCTTTCATTTAATCCACATAAAAATCAAGCCTACTCTAAATGAAAAATACCTCGACACAGAAGCAGCACTAACTAGTTGTTTTATTAAAACATTAATAAAATCTAGAAAACCATAAAGAAAATCTGGTTGCGTTTTGAAGCCCTCTCCTAAGATCAGATTCCCCAAAAGAACAAAGTGCATGGAGCATATAACAAAGATCTTTTCCTAAATTAAGATAAGAATGCAAATCAAAATAAAGGCAAAATCCTACTGAGTGAAGCAAAAATTGTAATTCAGTAGCTCACGACTTGACCAAATGGCTATTTTTAATCCCTATAATCATCCAAATAACTAGGAATAGCAGAGAAAATTGTGTCTCCTTTCTACAGAGACACGTGGCTTTAAGAAACTCAAGCACATCAAATTCCCACCTTACCAAACAGATAAATTGGAAAGGAGCTTAGTATTTTATTTTTAAATTATTTATTTACCTTTTTATTTTTTAGAGAAAGGGTTTCACTCCATCACACAGACTGGCGTGCAGTGGCATGATTATAGCTCACTGCAGCCTCTAATCTTGGGCTCAAGTGATCCTCGCACCTCAGCCTCCCAAAGTGCTGGCATTACAGGTGTAAACCACAGCACCTGGCCTTACTATTTTAAAGAATTAATTACCATATTCCTTAGAATTGTAGCTCCTTTATAGGTCATTCAACATGTGACGCAATTTTTTACAAGCGGTATTTTTTTTTTTTTTTTTTTTTTGAGATGGAGTCTCACTGTCGCCCAGGCTGGCGTGCAGTGGTGCAATCTCGGCTCACAGCAACCTCCACCTCCCGGGTTCAGGTGATTCTCTTACCTCAGCCTCCTGAGTAGCTGGGACTACAGGCATGTGCCACCACACCCGGCTAATTTTTTGTATTTTTAGTGGAGACGGGGTTTCACCATGTTAGCCAGGATGGTCTCCATCTTCTAACCTCGTGATCTGCCTGTCTTGCCCTCCCAAAGTGTTGGGATTACAGGTGTGAGCCACCACACCCGGCCACAAGTGGTAATTTTCAACTGTGCTTCAAACCATTACACAAAGCCAAGTACATCTACTCAAGGCACTCTCAAATTTCCATTTACTCCCATTTTACTCAACAAAATAAAATATTAAATTGGAACATATTTCACATGACACTTCAAAGATCAACAAAATGCTCCTGAAAAGTTCTGAGCTCAACAACTCCATCAATGAGAAAAGAACAAACCAACTGGATATAGTGAAGATGCTGCACATAAAACACAATTGTGAAGAATATGCAAGATATTGCCAAAAAGCTGCTTAAGGTTTCATCATAGATACTTGTCCTTAACTCTGAGATAAAGTATATATACTCATGTAACTAAACTTGTTTAAAAGGAAAAAATAGGGGAAGAAGAAAAAGAACTTCCACTTCAGAATCCACATTTTCAAAGGCCTCCATTATTTACACCATTGCGGGGAAGAGAATTCTTCTCTGCTATATTTGCTTGAAAGAATTAAAGGTATAGGGCAAAGATTCTTGGAAATTACGTAGTTTACGGTCCTCAAAAGTGAGAAAAATGAAGCCCAGAAGAGAAGGCCTTCCAGAAAAATTCCAGAGCGGGAGGCAGACCCAGTACATTGTTTTTGTTCTGAGAACTCACTCTATGGCCCAGGCTGGAGTGCAGTGGAACCATTTCACTCACTGCAACCTCTGCCTCCTGGGTTCAAGCTATTCTCCTGCCTCGGCCTCCTGAGTAGCTGCGATTACAGGCGCCCACCACCACGCCCGACTAATTTTTGTATTTTTAGTAGAGACCGGGTTTCACCATGTTGGCCAGGTTGGTCTCGAACTCCTGACCTCAAGTGATCCGCCTGCCTAGACCTCCCAAAGTCCTGGGATTACAGGCGTGAGCCACCGCGCCCGGCGACCTGGTAAGTTTTAATCAAGTACTCTGAACTATGCAACAAACACTAGGAAGTAATAGAAAAAAAAAAATCTAAAAACCCTCTGGAGAGTCAAAGAATTGCAGATTTAAAATAGCATGAATACTTGGATTCATGGTATTGAAAAAGGACCTCGCATTTACCCGCATGTACAAACTGCCTGCCCACCTCTATCAGAGCATTTTTCAAGCTGTGCTACAGTTAACTATGTACTGCCCAAAGTCAATCTGTCCCTGCAGATCATAAGCTCTTAAAGACCAGAACTTCAGGAGAACAAGCAAAATTTCAGAGAGAAGGGAGGCACCTAAACAGAGTTCATAGCAATGCGTCCGCAGGAGCTGATGACTGGAGGTGGGCGGTAGCGTTGGGGTCTGGGACAGCGGAGGGCAGAGAAGGCAAAAGGGCCTGCATGACACGCTACAGGGCTGGAGCCACAGTTGCGGTGATTAGTTCAGTTTTGTCTTGTATGCCTGTTACTTATACACCATCTCTTGTTCAGAAAGAACTTCAGGTTGAGATTTGGACTCCTTGAGCCTTCTGCTGTTTGTCTCCGGGACGTTTAACACTCTTAAAAGGGGAAAACTGTCCAGTTCGATTTTGCTTCCTGGGACATTACAGGTTTTTCAAAAGTTTGATGAAAGCATTCACTAAGGAGTGATTCCACTTTCTTCGGTGGCTGAGAAATACAGCGTCTGAGGGGCAGCATCAGGTCTTCCCATCAAGCTGAGGTCGGAGTCTCCCCACCCACGGACCTCACCCTCGCTCTCCCCTCATAAATCTGACCTCTAACTGTAACGGCCTTGGCCTCATTCCGTGGGTGTGGATACTCCTGCTTGAAACGCATTTTCCAGCCCGCCAAATTCTTGGGAGAGTTTCTTCCACTCTCCAGGCGCTGAGAGCTACAAGTCAATCTGGCTTTCCAGATTTTTTTTTCTTCCCATTACTAACGGAAGAAATCAAGAGGCGCCGGGCAGAAGGGCCCTGCTCCCTCCAATCAGAGCCCAGCCCGGGGCCAGAGCAGGAAGCGCGGCGGTGGGACGCGCGGTGACAGCCCCTCGCCCCCCGGGACCCGCCGGCCAGGGCAGAGGTCGGTGCGGCCGCTGCGCGACAGCTCCGGGCCCGCGCCTCTCACTTCCTCCCGCCGGGCAAGTGAGAGGATAAATCACGGAGCGGGGGCAGTGCGCCCCCACCAACCGCGCCCGCAGCGCACGGACCCCCACTACACGCGCGTCCCAGGCGGGGTCGACCCAGACGAGCCACGGGGCGGCGCACAGCCCCACCAGCAGGGCGGCCAGGACCCACGCGCACGGGTCCACGCAGGGACCTATAGGTGACAAAACACTCAGGAAGCCGTCATGCGGGGACGGGAAAGAGCCCCCACCCAGAGTCACGGACCCCCTCGTCCAAGGGTCCGCGCAGTCCCCTCGGTGAGTCTGGCGAAGCAGTCTCGCTGCGAGGGAGGGCGGGGAGGGCGGCGGAGTCTCCCACTCGCGGTGATCCGGACCCCGCCCCACTAGTGGGTCCTCGCAGGGCCCCTCTGCCGCACACGGGGACCAGCCACGCCGCGGGGGACCGGGCAGAAGCCAGCGCCCGGGTCCATGCAGTGCCCTCCGCGGCAGACGCGGGGAGACTGGGAGCAGTAGGGACCGGCCCCCACCCGCAGGGCGACCGGTACCCCCGCGCGGGCCCACGCGGCGTCGCAGCAGGCACGAAGCCCCCGGTGCCACCCGAGGCCAAGACAAAGCCCAGGCGCAAGGACCCCGGATCCCGACCCCGGACCCTGCGGAGCCCAGCTCGGAGCCGCCACGCCCGGGGCAGAGACCCCCGCCCGGTCCGGAGACCCCGTCGCCCGTCGCGCCGTCTCACCTCAGGCCGCTGCCTCGCAGTGCTCGCTCCTCGCCGCTGCGCCTGGGCCGACTGGAGCGCAGCTGAGCAGCCGACAGAGCCGCGGCAGCCTCAACAATGGAGCCCCGGGGCGGGGCCGCCGCCGCCGCTTCAGCCCGTGTTCCCCGCTCGGGATCCGGCTCGGATCACTGAGCTGCAGCCGGCGCGGGGCTGCGGCCGGTACACACACCGCGCAGGCGCACACGGCCCCGCCCGCCGCCTGCCGCCCCGCCCCCAGCTGAGCCGGGCGCCCAGGGCCCGCCCCCCGGCCAATGGGGAGCGAGCTGCGCGGAGAGGGCGGGGCCTGGGGGAACAAAGGGAGGTTGGGCGGGGCGGCGCTGGAACTGGGCGTGCGGGGTCCCGCGGGAGGACCATAGCCATGAGCTGGCCGGATCCTGGCCTCCTAGAAGACCCAGCTCAATGTCCACTTGGAGTCTGCTCTACAGGACGCGCTCATCTCAAGCCCAGAACTCAGGCTTTTAGGGCAGAGAGCGAGAGACAGGCTTGCTTTACAGAAAGGGAAACTGAGGTCCAAGGAATAGGATTGCCTGCTGCCCGAAGTCACGTAGTCCCATTCACTCGTTCACCTTGTCATTCAGCAAACATTTGGAAGCACGTATGGTGGGCATTAGGAGTGAAATAGGGCCGGGCGCGGTGGCTCGTGCCTGTAATCCCAGCACTTTGTGGGGCCGAGGCAGGCGGATCACTTGAGGCCAGGAGTTCGAAACCAGCCTGGCCAACAAGATGAAACCCCGTCTCTACCAAAAATACAAAAGCTTAGCCGATCGTGGTGGTGCGTACCTGTGGTCCCAGCTACTGGGGAGGCTGAGGCAGGAGAATCGTTTGAACCCGGGAGGTGGAGGTTGCAGTGAGCTGAGATCCTGCCACTGCATGCACTCCAGGCTGGGCAACAGAGTGAGACTCTATCTCCAAAAAAAAAAAAAAAAAAAAATTAATAGACGGGAAGTAGAAGCGAACTTAGGCCTTCCCTGAAGGAGCTCGGCCAAGGAGTACCTGAAATGTCTCTGCATCTCTTTAAGGTCTGATAAAGGAACCAGGAGCGAGCACTAATCACTTCCCTTTCCTGCCTCAGAGCTTTCGTGTGTTTGCTGTTCCCTGCCTGAAATGCCAAGTACCAATGGTATTTATTTATTTATTTATTTATAGAAATGGGGTCTCCCTATGTTGCCCAGGCTGGTCTCAAACTCCTGGCCTCAAGCTATCCTCTCGTCTCAGCCTCCCAAAGTGTTGGGATTACAGGCATGAACCACTGTCCCCAGCCCTGATGGTCTTTAAAACCTCTTTCCTCATCTTATTTGAGCTTCCTGCATCATGTGATCCCACACCCTTGGTTTTCCTGTACCTCCATAGCTGCTCCTCTCTGGGTCCCGGGGACCCACCGCCTTCTCTGCCCCACTTGTACATGTCTGGACTCAGGCCAAATGCTCTTCCATTTGCAGTGGGCACTGGTACAGGAAATCTCATGCCCTTCCGGGCTTCACAAACCATCCACATGCTCTGCTGCCTGCCAGAGACATCCATCCCAGTCAGATGCCCAGCCCTGACCTTTCCCAAAGCCCCAGCTGGACACAGGGAAGCATCTCAAATTTTCCGCGGGCCAAAACAGAGTGCTTTATTAGTGCCCTAACCTGCTCATCCACATTCTTGTGATTCTCTGTAAACAGCCCCTCCATCCACCCAGCTGCTCAGGTGAAAATCTCAAATCCTCCTCCAGTCCTTCCTCCCCGAACCTCTCATACAGCCCTCTGCCTTCCTAGGATGCTGAGCACCCCTCACTCCCAGCGCCAGCTGGGGTGCTGTCTGAGTGGCTGCTTCCCACGTGGCATGAAGTGTGACCTCTCACCTGGTGTGGTGGCTTACGCCTGTAGTCACAGCACTTTGGGAGGCTGAGGCGGGCAGATTGCTTGAGGCCAGGAGACTGGGACCAGCCTGGCCAATATGGTGAAACTAAAATACAACAATTAGCCAGGCATGGTAATGCGTGCCTATCATCCCAGCTACCCTACCCAGGAGGCTGAGGCAGGAAAATTGCTTGAACCTGGGAGGCAGAGGTTGCAGTGAGCCAATGTCACACCACTGCACTCCACCCTGGGCAACAGAGCGAGACTCTGTCGCAAATTAAAAAAAAAAAAAAAGAAGAAGAAGAAGAAGTGTGACCTCTCTAAGGCAAAGCAATGTCCCACTCTGATTCACTTCCATGTGTAAAACAGGACCTGCACCCTGAAGGCACTCACTCAGGGAGGCTGCTGGGATGGGTGGATGCACAGTTAAGGTCTTCATGGTGGCTGGGGCTGACCCCATCCCCATCGCTCTTCCCACACACACCTGCACACTCATCACTCCCACGGTCGCACCCACCACTGAAAGCCTGGCCCCTAATCTGATTTGCCTAACAAGGTCCCCGGATGAACATCACATGCTTCCCTACCTCTCCCCTACTAGGGCCCCATCGTGTTCTGGGATGTACTCAGGGATCAGGAGAACAAAACCTCAGGGAGTGAAAGGACATTCCAGGGTGCAGGCCTCTGCATCCCCCTCCATGCCCTCACCCCTGCCTGACACACCCTCACCCCTGTACCTGGCCAGCTCCTACTAACCCTTAAAGTCTCACCAAGTTCAGTGGTGGCAGCCACACCCTAAAGTGACTGACCCCCCAATGACCTGTGCCCTTGCGTAGTCTTCCTGACCTTGGGTACGAGCAAAACCGGTGACTGGCTTCTAACCCATAGAGCCTGGCAAAAGCAATGGGATGTCACTGTCTGGTGCATCACCTTCGCACACTAGAGAGAGAGGTTCCACCTGCAGGCGCTGCTGGAGGGAGATGCTGTGCTGAGAAAGGACCTTTGAGGGGGCCCCGTAGGCAAGGAAGCAAAAAGCTGGGCCCTTGCCATGCGGGTCCGAGGAAATGAATTCGGCCAATAACCTCAGTGGACCTGGAAATGGATTCTGCCCCGGTTGAACTTCAGATGAGGATGCAGCCCAGCTGCTTAGTGTGAGATCCCAAGCAGAGGACCTGCTAAAATGTGCCCAACTCCTAGCTTGCCAAAATTGGCTTAAAGGTGTGTGTTGTTTTAAGCTTCTAAGTGTTTAGTTATTGCCTATGAAAGTGTTAAAATATGAGACAATAACTTAGGTCCCCTCCCCATCACACACATTCTTCTTTCTGGCATTCATCACAATTATACTTATTGATTTAAAATCTCCCTCTTGACTGGGTGCAGTGGCTCAGGAGTTCCAGACCAGCCTGGCCAACATGGTGAAACCCCATCTCTACTAAAAATACAAAAATTAGCTAGACGTGGTGGTGCAATCCTGTAATCCCAGCTACTCGGAAGGCTGAGGCAGGAGAATTGCTTGAATCCAGGAGGCAGAGGTTGCAGTGAGCCGAGATTACACCATTGCACTCCAGCCTGAGTGACAAGAACAAAACTCTGTCTCAAAAAAAAAAAAAATTGTCTCTTGCCACTAGCATGAAGGTCCCATGAGAAGAAAAATGGAAATTCTTGCTCATAACAGTGCCCCAGTGCCCAGCACGGTGTAGTTCTAGGGCAGTTGGTCGACGGTGGACGCTGCTGGTTGGAGGGCCCAGCTGGCCCTCCCAGCTGCCTTCTCCCTGGTCACATTCCATTATAGAGAACAGAATAGTTTCTTGCCTTTCTGGAGTCCCTCTTAGTGGGGATTGGCCAAATGACATTGTCCTGCCCCGGGAGACATAAGTGGAAGTTGGCTGAAAGGTTTTTAGCCGTGGTGTGCTGGGGCAATTTGAACCAGGACATAAGTGCTGACCATCCATTGTTCGGGAATTCTGCAAGTTGGTTGTTCAACACATTCAGTACTTAAAAATATTAAATAATATAAACTCGCAAATTAAAAAATGCACTAGACCAGGTGCAGTGGCCCACGTCTAACACATTGGAAGGCTGAGGCAGGAAGATCACTTGAGCCCAGGAGTTCAAGACCAGCTTAGGCAAAAAAGGAAGACCCTGTCTCTACAAAAAATTTTAAAATTAGCTAGGCATGGTGGTGTGTGCATGCAATCCTAGCCACTCAGGAGGCTGAGGTGGGAGGATCGCTTGAACCATCTGTGCAAGGCTCCAATGAGCTATGATAGTGCCACTGCACTCCAGCCTGGGTGACAGAGCCAGACCCTGTCTCAGAAATAAACATATTTTATATATTAATAAATCTATAATAAATGTATATTTACATATACATTTATGTATTATAATTATATATTTAGACATAAATATATATTTTTTATTTTATTTATTTATTTATTTTGAAATGCAGTTTCACCCTTGTCGCCCGGGCTGGAGTGCAATGACACGATCTGGGCTTACCGCAACCTCCACCTCCCGGGTTTAAGTGATTTTCCTGCCTCAGTCTCCTGAGTAGCTGGGATTACAGGCGTGCACCACCATGCCTGGCTAATTTTGTATTTTTAGTAGAGACGGGGTTTCTCCATGTTGGTCAGGCTAGTCTCGAACTCCCAACCTCAGGTGATCTGCCCACCTCGGCCTCCCAAATTGCTGGGATTACAGGTGTAAGCCACCGTGCCCAGCCTATATTACATATTTATATATTATAATTATGTATAAACTCATCAAAATGCATTATTGCCTGATTATTTTACTCTTACTAAGTTCTTGAAGATTTGCATCTCCCGCGCCAGTAGGTGGAAATCCTAAATCATGGTGTGCTGCTGACTTCTCTCCCCAACTCCGTAGTCAGCAATGTCATGGCGGTAGCTTGGAATCAGACATAGTAGGAGAATTTATACATAACATGGCAACTGTTACAAATCAGGACGTTCCCTCTTCCTCCTCTCCCCCAACATACCAGCACACCCCTGATTTTGAGGGAAGTGTTTGCTCTCTTGGAAAAGGAAAAGACACGGCGGAGGCTGCTTTTTCTCAGCAGCAGGGATTATGACCACGAGCACGGGTGTGGTATCTGCAGCTATAGTGGCCACTGTGCAGCCATCTCAGACACTACAGGCAAGAGAATTAGAGAGATTCTGAACCTTGCACTATTGACCCAGTGAAACAACACCAGCAACCACTGACCCCCAGATCCTCTGTTGGGTAGAAAAAACAAATCCCTTTTTATCGAAGCCTCCGGTCATCAATTCTATACTTACTCACAGGATTCTGTAACTGAAGCATGTAGAATTAGTATTTGTTGAATTAGTAAATGAATAAACTCGGCCTGATTCTTGAACACGTACTTGAAAACCTCTCACCACATTCCTGCTGAGACATCCAGGTCTATGTCTACCAGGAAGAAGCTAACTACCCAATGAACCAGTCCAGGCAGAGTCTGACAGCTCTGATTAGCAGGAAGTTTTTCCTCTTATGCAACTGACTTTTTCTTTTTCTTTATTTTCTTTTCTTTTTTTCTTTTTTTTTTTTTTTTTTTTTTGAGACAAAGGCTCACTCTGTCGCTGAGGCTGGAGAGCAGTGGTATGAATATGGCTCACTGCAGCCTCCATCTCCCAGACTCAAACAATATTCCTACCTTAGCCTCCTGAGTAGCTGGGACTACAAGCGCATGCCACCAAACCCAGGTAATTTTTTTGGTTTTATTTCTTTTGTAGAGATAGGGTCTTGCCATGTTGCCCAGGCTGGTCTCGAACTCCTGAGCTCAAGCAATCCTCCTGCCTCGGCCTCCCAAAGTGTTGGGA